CTGCAACGCCGTTCGCTGCCGCGCCACCGTTCACCACCACCGCGCCGCCTGCAACGCCGTTCGCTGCTGCGCCACCGTTCACCACCACCGCGCCGCCTGCAACGCCGTTCGCTGCCGCGCCACCGTTCACCACCACCGCGCCACGTGCAACGCCGCTCGCCGCCGCGCCACCGTTCACCACCAACGCGCCGCCTGCAACGCCGTTCGCCGCCGCGCCACCGTTCACCACCACCGCGCCGCCTGCAACGCCGTTCGCCGCCGCGCCATCGTTCACCACCACCGCGCCACGTGCAACGCCGCTCGCTGCCGCGCCATCGACCAACATGCCGCCACTCACTACGAGGACCATCCGTGAACTGTACGTGGGGCGCGTGGACATGAAGGTTTCTGGGCGCACGAGGGCAGCCGCTAAGGACCAAGGGGGGGGGAGGGCGTCGTCAATGCCGCCCCTCTCTGCCAGGGCCAATCGAGAGCTGGACTTGGGACGAGAGACGCGGGTGCCAGGGAGATTGAGGGGTCGGGGGGTGCGTTTCCAGGATGGGGGGGCCGAGCGGTCGACGTCGCCTGGCGGGAGCGGCGACGCTCCCGCCCACCGCTTCGGGCTTGTATCCTTGCAGGACAAGGCAACGCTCCTGTCGACTCTCACCACTCGCAGCGTCGTCGATAGGGGGAGAAAGGAGATCCCGAGTTTAGCCGGAGGACGCTAAGAAGCGGAGCCGGGGGGGCGAAAGCGGGGGGGCACAGAAACAGAAGGACTGCGTGAAGAAGTCCCATTTGCGTGCGCCACCTTGCTTGCCTCGCGCGAGGACATTGATCAAACGATGAGGGATTTAAATCCCCCGGAAGTGGCACCGGACTTGCCACATTGCTATGCCAACGACTTGCGCGTACCCAACATTTATAGGGAGGCTGTGTCCTCTGAGTATGCTGACTTGTGGGTAGACTCTGTAGAGGTGAAGTTCAGAGGTCTGATGGAGGCTTGTACCTTTGAGGAAGTAATGTAGCAACCAGAGAGTGTCATCAAGGCACAGTGGGTGTCTAACTGGAATTCCGATGAGTATGGATGGCCGGCTAGTGTAAAATCGCGGCTCGTAGCGAGAGGAGATATGCAGCGAGCACATGTAGATCGTGGAGAGACGTATGCACCGACTGTAGGGGTTTCTAGCGTTCGCTTGTTGGCAGCGATTGCATGTGAGCAAAATCTTTCCCTTCGTCATTATGACATCAAGCAAGCATTTGTCCAGTCGGATTTGGATGAAGATGTTTTCTTGTGTCTGCCAGAGGGATGTGGTAGATTGTCAGGCATGATAGTGAAGTTGAACAAGAGTCTGTATGGCCTTAAGCAGGCATCAAGGCAATGGCATTCACACTTGGCGAGGTTTTTGATTTGTTTGGGTTTTATTCAGTGTCTGGCGGATACGCGTGTGTTTCGGTTGATCGAGGAGGGAAGAGTGGTAGTGACTCTGGTAGTACATGTGGATGACATATTTTCGATTGGAGAGGAGGAGAGGTGTGACCAATTTGGTCGGGACCTCAACACCATGGTACCGGTGAAGAATCTTGGTGACTTGAGGTGGTACTCTGGATGTTTTTATTAGAGGGATTGGGATGCAGGGACTTTGAAGATCTCGCAGCAGACGTACGCTGAAGAGTTGGGGATGGATGGAGGTTGGGGTAGAGTACGGGAAGGAAATTTCTCTTCCTGTAGGGTTGAAGCTTTCAGAGTTTGACCAGGATGAGGAAGCGGTATCATGGCCTTTCCGCGAGCTGATAGGATCACTGATGTGGCTGGCAACGCAAACGAGGCCAGATATCGCGAATGCAGTAAGAACGGTAGCACGGTACTGTGCTTCTCCCAAAGAAATTCCTTGGAGAGCAGGTCTTGGTATTTTGGGGTATGTGGTAAGGACTAGTGACTTGGGGATTACATTCAGGAGGGGTAGTGTAGCAGGGTTGAGCAT